TTCAGAATGTAGAAATTTGAAAGCAATACGAGATAATGAAAGATATTCAGAGGGCAGAGGAGGTCGGTTTGGAAATTTAGGGACAGAGCTGGATGGGGGGGGGGGGGTTAGGGGTAATTTCACAAAAGGTTGGAAGGAGGGTGTGGAGGAGGTTTTAAATGGTAAACACTTGAGTATCCAACAGGCGTGTGTGTGTTAGATTAGGGTGAGCAGAGACCAATGGTTTTAGGGATTTTACATGCTGCTGGAGTGTGAGCATGGTAACATATATGAAAGGATTCAGAAAACCATTAAGCCAGACTTGAGACCTAGAGGTGGGAAGTATAATGCCTGCACTCTGGAGGGGTGGGGATGTTGCACTTCAGAAGGTCATATGAATTGTGATGTCTGCTCACTTTAGGCAAGACAGCTATTGATGAATGATAAGTATGTTTCCTTTTTTTGAGTCACCCCACCCTGGTAGGAGATGGCTGATGGTTATAAAAAAATTTATAAAACAATCTAAAAATATAGATTTACATATTTTGTTATTTTACATAGAAACTAATAACACCCAACAAAAATATATTTAAGTTATACATACTGTAATATTAATATATAATACCCACCAAAATAAAAAGTTAATGTATTATTCAGGAGGAGGTAGGGGAGGTGGTGGTGGTGGTGGTTCTGTAGGAAGTGGAGGATTTGAGGTTGAAGAAATCTGAGGCAGAGACTGGGTGGGTGTGTAAACTTGTGGCAATGTTGGCATGTATGGCATAGGTGCAAGAGAGTGATGTGGTGGAAGGTGATACGGAGGTGGAGGGTAATTAAAATTTGGTGGAGGAATTGGGTAGGGATAGAACTGTTGATATGGGTATGGACCAGCTTGAACCATGGGCATCATGCCAGATGGAGGGGCACTAGGATGATATTGGGAATGCTGAATAGTCATGCGGTGACGTGGTGGGCACTTCCTCCTCTGCTGTTGGGAAAATCGCTGATGAGGAACAGCCCCACCACCTGGAGGTCTATAATGACCACCACCCACCTGAGGGGCTGCATGGGTGGACCGTGCCTCGCTGCCATTGCGTGGGATCTTTGCTGGATGGACATCACTTGGGCTGCGATCCCTGTCTCTTTTCTTTGATTCCTTATCTGGACGAAGGCGGTCCCGACTGATCTTGATCTTTAAAGAGGTAGTGGGAGTTTCACGGGTCAAGTCACCAGCAGGACTACTCTCTGGAGAAGTGGATGAAGTGCCACCAAATAAATCCTTTTTACTGAGTTTAGACTTTGTAATCTTGAACTTGGGGATCCCTGGATTAGTATTGGGAGTGGTAGTTGGTGCAGTAACAGTGGCTGGTGTTGTGGTTGTATGAGGACGTAAAGGTGCTAAAGGTTGTTCAGGTGTGTATAAAATTTTATCTTTAGGTATAGTAATTTTAATGGGCCCAGTCCCACCTTCCCCAGTACTACGGGGTTTTTCTTTGTCCTTATCCTTATGTTTTTTGTGCTTTCTGTCCTTTTTGTGTTCTTTGTGTTCTCTGTGTTCTTTATGTTCTTTGTGTTCTTTATGTTCCTTGTGTTCCCTATCCTTGTGCTTATCTTTTTCTTTATGTTTATGTTTCTGTTTCTTTTTTTCTTTGTGCTTGTGGTGTGGATGATCATGCTTGTGTTTCTTATGTTCTGTAACAACACTACCACTCCCAACACCAGGTGTGGGTTCAGCTTGGGGCTCCTGAACCTTTAAATGCTCTGGCTGAGGAACCTTCACACGTAATACTGGCTCACTCGGAGTCTTTTGTATTGGCTCTGCATTTACTGTTGAAGTGGCATTGTGGGATGGAGCAGGTGGTTTAGAGGTTGAATTTGCAGCTGCTACATTTGCTGCATCCGGACGCACTTTGATAGGAGTGCCTGGGTCACTAAGCGCAGAGCGGTATCGAGTGTCTTCCAACTTGGTAACCATAGGAACCAATTCAGCCTCACCACGTTCACTGTTTCTTCTTTCACCATCACGAGACCTTCTGCTGTTAGAGCTCTTAGAAGATTGAGAAGTAATCTGAGCAGGCTGAGGAGCAGGTACTGAACCATTAGTGGTGGTATGATGATGTCTTGCACTATGGTAGTTAGATACTGTTGTTGAACCAGCACTCTCACTGACCTGTTGATCACCATTGCCACTAACACCACTAACATTTGCAACAGCGTGGCTACTGCTGGTGTGTTGTGCAACCTGAACCTGGTGTCCGACTTGCTGCTGGCAGGATGCTGGAGATTTGCTCTTTTGATGGGCAGAAGAGGGTAATAAATTATCTTCTAATATGGCAGAAATATCAGGTTTATTCTCCGTATCAGAGTTGTCAAACAGCTCGTCAGGGGGACCATCACTCAAATTAAGGAAAGTATTGTCACTCAAAAAGTCACTAAGTGCAAACTCAGGCATGTCACTGTTGTTAAAAATTGTGTTGTACTGTGATTTTACCTCTTCCTTTGGCTCAGTTTTTATTTCTGTTTTCATTTCAGCTTTTATTTTCACTAGTTCTTGCTTTGGCTCGGGAGGTTTACGTTCTACAGTTTTCTGTTCAAGTTTAATCTCTTTTTTTCTATCTATTAATGAAGAATCTAATGACTGTCTAGAGGGTTTTATATCTAACAATTGCTGTTGTCTATTATCAGATACACTAGGCTTAATGTCCACTGGAGGCAATCTGCCATCAACAACACTGCTACTAGTCCTGTTACCCTTATCGTAACGTTCACTATCACTTCGTGCACTAACATCTCTCCGCTGCTCCTGGCGAGGAGCTTCAGTATTAACACGCAAGGACTCTAAGGATGGCTGCAGGTCTCTTGCAACCTGAGTGGCACCATGACAGTGTGCCTTGTGGTTACTGCTGTGAACTGCTGAGGCTTTAACATGCTCAGGGTGAGTGCTTCGCCCACTGCTGCTCTTTCCACTCTTGACACGTATGGGAAGAGATGAATGCAAAGCAGCATGAGAAGAAGCAATGGATGCCACAGCAGAGGTTACAACTTGAGAAGAGTGAGAGGTGGCTACTATGGTAAACTGTTTGCTATCACGGGGATCAATGGTATCCCTGTCTCGCATTTTCTCTCGCTCACGTCGCTCTTTCTCCCGCTTCTCATTATACTCCTTTAGGTTGAGCTTTGGTGGTTGAGGGTGTTGGTGAGGTTGTGAAGGTGGCACTTTCAGAGCTGGAAAACACAATTACTATCTTAGCATGGTCACCATTATAAATTATCAATACAGTAAGTTGTAAATTAAAAATATATATTGCACACCAGAAGGAAGAATATGGGAAATTAATACACTAATTTGAAAGAACTTGATATTCAAAATTCATTTAAGACCAGTTTCTGAATCATCTGTTTTTCCAAACTTGGCTGTTTAATTTTAAATAAAACTTAAAATAATTTGAACTCTTGAACAGCCATATCTTTCAGTGATAACTATCACTGAAAAATGTCAAACAGTATGTCTTTTAAGGCATCATAATAAAAACATCAATTTTGTAGTAACTCCATGAACTATCTAACTTTAATTGGCTCAATTTTTTAAAAGTAATTCAGACATGTACAGCACAGAAATAAATCAAGACTTGTTTATTCAGTAAATTAAAGCACACAAGTTTATTTCAATTAGTATTATTTTAAGATGCTCTTAAGATTTTCTTAGGAGAGTACCAAAGCAAATAGTACACAGTGAAGGTGATCATGGGGGCATGCTAAATATGCAGGAGTCATATAATGCCTGAGAAATAAGGAGATAAATCAAGTTTTCTCCAATGAAGGGTAAGACCACTAATTCCTTGGAAAATTATCCGTTCACTAGTATCAAGGCACCACAATGAAGAGGGAAAATATTGTAAATGCTCAATGTAAAAAAAGAACAGAAATGCTGTATATTTCTGACATGATGTAGGAAGTGCAATGGTATGCAACAATACTAGTTCCAGAGCTAAGCAGTATAAGCTGAGGATAGGCTAACATAATCGAGCCAAACAACATTGGAGGACAGAAGGAACTGGGGAAGACGTTATATAACAGCATACAAAATACTAAAGAGTAAATGAGAGGGTAGAAGACAAAGACAGGTTGAGAGACAGGAAACAAGTACTCAGGAGCACAGCTGGAATTTAAAGATACAGATGAATCGCAAGCATATCTTCAGTCTCATGGCCATCAGGAGGCAGGCTCTACACATAGTTTTAAAAGCAGGTATGACAGAGGCAATGAGGCTTGGAGGGTATGAATCTGCCAAGCAAGTTGACAGACAAAGGCCAAAGGTTGAGACTCAACCGCTGCAACCACACACAGGTGAGTATATCAACTCTTCCTGTAAAAATTGATGTGTAAAAATAATGACAATCCAGCCAAGTTACTAGGTTTAAAATAAAAATCCTATAGATTCTACAAAAAGTGCAAATAAAGTTAACCCTAAAACTGTCCAAGCATAGATCTACGTTTGCACCAATAGCGCTCCGAACGTAGATCTACTTTTTTTTTTATACATTTGAAAGCAAGTAATTTAAAACGTAGATCTACGTTCGGAGAGCTAGTGGTGCAAACGTAGATCTACGGTAGGACACTAAGGGTAAGGAACTAATTTTACTATTACATTACCTGCTTTACTGTGAGAGTTATGATCATGACCACGAGAAGCCACAGCAGATGACGATCCCACCACTGCAATAGAACGGGTCGAAGGAAGTGTGGCCGAAGATCCTGGCTGGCTTCCTTTACTTCGCTCATCTGTGTGCTGCGATGAATTCATGATTTTCTTGAGTCGGTTTGGACATTTATCCAGGATGGCAAGGAACTCTGCTGTTAATGTCTCAAGTAGCTCAAGAGTTACAGTCTTGTCTACATACCAAAACCAATCCTTCCCTTCAGTTACCCGTTGAATCTGTTGGATTTATAATATATTATTTTACACGTATCAAAATAATGCACATCTACCAAGTAATTTTATGGTATGGCAAAAACTATACATGGCAGCATACAAAAAATGGTGCTGCATATTAGATATGCAGCAAACATAATTATCTATTGTATTTCCACATAATTTGTGCATTAACTGAAGGGAGCATAACAGTAGTATAATTGACAGCTCAGTCACCAAGCTATGATTAGCTTTGAATTTCCACTATACAAAATCCTGCAAATTACCTGCAAAGAAAATTCTTATCCAACAGGCTGTACTACTACAGGACAATTATTTAAATCTTTTGATTCATACCCCTTGGGAACTCATTAACACAGGCTATATGAAATAAAGCCTGTGTTAATGAGTTAAGGACTCTTGAATTCTTTTTTTTTTTTTTCAACAAGTTGACCGTCTCCCACCAAGGCAGGGTGACCCAAAAAGAAAGAAAATCCCCAAAAAGAAAATACTTTCATCATCATTCAACACTTTCACCTCACTCGCACATAATCACTGTTTTTGCAGAGGTGATCAAAATACAACAGTTTTAGAAGTATATACGTATAAAAATACACAATATATCCCTCCAAACTGCCAATATCCCAAACCCCTCCTTTAGAGTACAGGCATTGTGCTTCCCATTTCCAGGGCTCAAGTCCGGTTACTTAAAATAACCGGTTTCCCTGAATCCCTTCACTATATATTACCCTGCTCACACTCCAACAGCTCGTCAAGTCCCAAATACCATTCGTCTCCATTCACTCCTATCTAACACGCTCATGCATGCCTGCTGGAAGTCCAAACCCCTAGCCCACACCACCACCTTTACCCCCTCCCTCCAACCTTTACAAGGACGAGCCCTACCCCGCCTTCCTTCCCCTACAGATTTATACGCTTTCCATGTCATTCTACTTTGATCCATTCTAAATGACCAAACCACCTCAACAAACCCTCTTCAGCCCTCTGACTAATACTTTTATTAACTCCACACCTTCTCCTAATTTCCACACTCCGAATTTTCTAAATAATATTTACACCACACACTGCCCTTAGACAGGACATCTCCACTGCCTCCAACCGCCTCCTCGCTGCAGCATTTACAACCCAAGCTTCACACCCATATAAGAGTGTTGGTACTACTATACTTTCATACATTCCCTTTTTGCCTCCATAGATAGTAGATAGTAGGTAGTAGGTTGGTAGACAGCAACCACCCAGGGAAGTACTACCGTCCTGCCAGATGACTGTGAAACAGAAACCTGTAACTGTTTTGCATGATGGTAGGATTGCTGGTTTCTTTTTTCTGTCTCATAAACACGCTAGATAACAGGGATATCTTGCTACTCCTACTTACACTTTGGTCACACTTCACAGACACGCACATGCATACATATATACATACATCTAGGTTTTTCTCCTTTTTCTAAATAGCTCTTGTTCCTCTTTATTTCTTCTATTGTCCATAGGGAAGTGGAAAAGAATCTTTCCTCCGTAAGCCATGCATGTCGTATGAGGCGACTAAAATGCCGGGAGCAATGGGCTAGTAACCCCTTCTCCTGTAGACATTTACTAAAAAAGAGAAGAAGAAAAACTTTATAAAACTGAGATGCTTAAATGTGCGTGGATGTAGTGCGGATGACAAGAAACAGATGATTGCTGATGTTATGAATGAAAAGAAGTTGGATGTCCTGGCCCTAAGCGAAACAAAGCTGAAGGGGGTAGGGGAGTTTCGGTGGGGGGAAATAAATGGGATTAAATCTGGAGTATCTAAGAGAATTAGAGCAAAGGAAGGGGTAGCAGTAATGTTGAATGATCAGTTATGGAAGGAGAAAAGAGAATATGAATGTGTAAATTCAAGAATTATGTGGATTAAAGTAAAGGTTGGATGCGAGAAGTGGGTCATAATAAGCGTGTATGCACCTGGAGAAGAGAGGAATGCAGAGGAGAGAGAGAGATTTTGGGAGATGTTAAGTGAATGTATAGGAGCCTTTGAACCAAGTGAGAGAGTAATTGTGGTAGGGGATCTGAATGCTAAAGTAGGAGAAACTTTTAGAGAGGGTGTGGTAGGTAAGTTTGGGGTGCCAGGTGTAAATGATAATGGGAGCCCTTTGCTTGAACTTTGTATAGAAAGGGGTTTAGTTATAGGTAATACATATTTTAAGAAAAAGAGGATAAATAAGTATACAAGATATAATGTAGGGTGAAATGACAGTAGTTTGTTGGATTATGTATTGGTAGATAAAAGACTGTTGAGTAGACTTCAGGATGTACATGTTTATAGAGGGGCCACAGATATATCAGATCACTTTCTAGTTGTAGCTACACTGAGAGTAAAAGGTAGATGGGATACAAGGAGAATAGAAGCATCAGGGAAGAGAGAGGTGAAGGTTTATAAACTAAAAGAGGAGCCAGTTAGGGTAAGATATAAACAGCTATTGGAGGATAGATGGGCTAATGAGAGCATAGGCAATGGGGTCGAAGAGGTATGGGGTAGGTTTTAAAAATGTAGTGTTGGAGTGTTCAGCAGAAGTTTGTGGTTACAGGAAAGTGGGTGCGGGAGGGAAGAGGAGCGATTGGTGGAATGATGACGTGAAGAGAGTAGTAAGGGAGAAAAAGTTAGCATATGAGAAGTTTTTACAAAGTAGAAGTGATGAAAGGAGGGAAGAGTATATGGAGAAAAAGAGAGAGGTTAAGAGAGTGGTGAAGCAATGTTAAAAGAGAGCAAATGAGAGAGTGGGTGAGATGTTATCAACAAATTTGTTGAAAATAAGAAAAGTTTTGGAGTGAGATTAAACAAGTTAAGAAAGCCTAGAGAACAAATGGATTTGTCAGTTAAAAAATAGGAGAGGAGAGTTATTAAATGGAGAGTTAGAGGTATTGGGAAGATGGAGGGAATATTTTGAGGAATTGTTAAATGTTGATGAAGGTAGGGAAGCTATGATTTTGTGTATAGGGCAAGAAGGAACAAAATCTTGTAGGAGTGAAGAAAGAGCCAGTTGTGAGTGTGGGGAAGTTCGTGAGCAGTAGGTAAAATGAAAGGGGGTAAGGCAGCGGGATTGATGGGATAAAGATAGAAATGTTAAAAGCAGGTGGGGATATAGTTTTGGAGTGGTTGGTGCAATTATTTAATAAATGTATGGAAGAGGGTAAGGTACCTAGGGATTGGCAGAGAGCATGCATAGTTCCTTTGTATAAAGGCAAAGGGGATAAAAGAGAGTGCAAAAATTATAGGGGGATAAGTCTGTTGAGTCTATGTAGTAGGTTGGTAGACAGCAACCGCCCAGGGAGGTACTACTGTCCTGCCAAGTGAGTGTAAAACGAAAGCCTGTAATTGTTTTACATGATGGTAGGATTGCTGGTGTCCTTTTTTTCTGTCTCATAAACATGCAAGATTTCAGGTACGTCTTACTACTTCTACTTACACTTAGGTCACACTACACATGCATGTACAAGCATATATATGTATATATACACATCCAATCAGCAAAAAAGGGAAAGAAGGGAATGTATGAAAGTATAGTAGTACCAACACTCTTATATGGATGTGAAGCTTGGGTGGTAAATGCAGCAGCGAGGAGACGGTTGGAGGCAGTGGAGATGTCCTGTCTAAGGGCAATGTGTGGTGTAAATATTATGCAGAAAATTCGGAGTGTGGAAATTAGGAGAAGGAGTGGAGTTAATAAAAGCATTAGTCAGAGGGCAGAAGAGGGGTTGTTGAGGTGGTTTGGTCATTTAGAGAGAATGGATCAAAGTAGAATGACATGGAAAGCATATAAATCTATAGGGGAAGGAAAGAGAGGTAGGGGTCGTCCTCGAAAGGGTTGGAAAGAGGGGGTTAAAGGAGGTTTTGTGGGTGAGGGGCTTGGACTTCCAGCAAGCGTGCATGAGCGTGTTAGATAGGAGTGAATGGAGACGAATGATACTTGGGACCTGACGATCTGTTGGAGTGTGAGCAGGGTAATATTTAGTGAAGGGATTCAGAGAAACCGGTTATTTTCATATAGTCGGACTTGAGTCCTGGAAATGGGAAGTACAATGCCTGCACTTTAAAGGAGGGGTTTGGGATATTGGCAGTTTGGAGGGATATGTTGTGTATCTCTATACGTATATGCTTCTAAGCTGTTGTATTCTGAGCACCTCTGCAAAAGCAGTGATAATGTGTGAGTGTGGTGAAAGTGTTGAATGATGATGAAAGTATTTTCTTTTTGGGGATTTTCTTTTTTTTTTTTTTTTGGGTCACCCTGCCTCGGTGGGAGACGACCGACTTGTTGAAAAAAAAAAAAAAAATACACATCCCTCTGGGTTTTCTTCTATTTTCTTTCTAGTTCTTGTTGTTGTTTATTTCCTCTTATCTCCATGGGGAAGTGGAACAGAATTCTTCCTCCTTAAGCCATGCGTGTTGTAAGAGGCGACTAAAATGCCAGGAGCAAGGGGCTAGTAACCCCTTCTCCCGTATAAATTACTAAATTTAAAAAGAGAAACTTTCGTTTTTCTTTTTGGGCCACCCTGCCTTGGTGGGATACGGCCGGTTTGTTGAAAAAAAAAAAAAATAGTCTGTTGAGTATACCTGGCAAAGTGTATGGTAGAGTTATTATTGAAAGAATTAAGAGTAAGACGGAGAATAGGATAGCAGATGAACAAGGAGGCTTTAGGAAAGGTAGGGGGTGTGTGGACCAGGTGTTTACAGTGAAACATATAAGTGAACAGTATTTAGATAAGGCTAAAGAGGTCTTTGTGGCATTTATGGATTTGGAAAAGGCGTATGACAGGGTGGATAAGGGGGCAATGTGGCAGATGTTGCAGGTGTATGGTGTAGGAGGTAGGTTACTGAAAGCAGTGAAGAGTTTTTACGAGGATAGTGAGGCTCAAGTTAGTATGTAGGAAGAGGGAAATTATTTCCAGTAAAAGTAGGCCTTAGACAAGGATGTGTGATGTCACCGTGGTTGTTCAATATATTTATAGATGGGGTTATAAGAGAAGTAAATGCGAGAGTCTTGGTAAGAGGCGTGGAGTTAAAAGATAAAGAATCACACATAAAGTGGGAGTTGTCACAGTTGCTCTTTGCTGAGGACACTGTGCTCTTGGGAGATTCTGAAAAGAAGTTGCAGAGATTGGTGGATGAATTTGGTAGGGTGTGCAAAAGAAGAAAATTGAAAGTGAATACAGGAAAGAGTAAGGTTATGAGGATAACAAAAAGATTAGGTGATGAAAGATTGGATATCAGATTGGAGGGAGAGAGTATGGAGGAGGTGAATGTATTCAGATATTTGGGAGTGGACTTGTCAGCGGATGGGTCTATGAAAGATGAGGTGAATCATAGAATTGATGAGGGGAAAAGGGTGAGTGGTGCACTTAGGAGTCTTTGGAGACAAAGAACTTTGTCCTTGGAGGCAAAGAGGGGAATGTATGAGAGTATAGTTTTACCAACGCTCTTATACGAGTGTGAAGCATGGGTGATGAATGTTACAGCGAGGAGAAGGCTGGAGGCAGTGGAGATGTCATGTCTGAGAGCAATGTGTGGTGTGAATATAATGCAGAGAATTCGTAGTTTGGAAGTTAGGAGGAGGTGCGGGATTACCAAAACTGTTGTCCAGAGGGCTGAGGAAGGGTTGTTGAGGTGGTTCGGACATGTGGAGAGAATGGAGTGAAACAGAATAACTTCAAGAGTGTATCAGTCTGTAGTGGAAGGAAGGCGGGGTAGGGGTCGGCCTAGGAAAGGTTGGAGGGAGGGGGTAAAGGAGGTTTTGTGTGCGAGGGGCTTGGACTTCCAGCAGGCATGCGTGAGCGTGTTTGATAGGAGTGAATGGAGACAAATGGTTTTTAATACTTGACGTGCTGTGTGAGCAAAGTACCATTTATGAAGGGGTTCAGGGAAACCGGCAGGCCGGACTTGAGTCCTGGAGATGGGAAGTACAGTGCCTGCACTCTGAAGGAGGGGTGTTAATGTTGCAGTTTAAAAACTGTAGTGTAAAGCACCCTTCAGGCAAGACAGTGATGGAGTGAATGATGGTGAAAGTTTTTCTTTTTCGGGCCACCCTGCCTTGGTGGGAATCGGCCAGTGTGATAAAAAAAAAAAAAAAAAGATAATATTTTTTGCCTTTTGAATTCATACTCATATCAAATGATTTAGATAAAGAAAAATTGGATATCAAATTGGGGAGGAGGAGTATGGAAGAAGTGAATGTTTTCAGATACTTGGGAGTTGACGTGTCGGCGGATGGATTTATGAAGGATGAGGTTAATCATAGAATTGATGAGGGAAAAAAGGTGAGTGGTGCATTGAGGTATATGTGGAGTCAAAAAATGTTATCTATGGAGGCAAAGAAGGGAATGTATGAAAATATAGTAGTACCAACACTCTTATATGGATGTTAAGCTTGGGTGGTAAATGCAGCAGTGAGGAGACGGTTGGAGGCAGTGGAGATGTCCTGTTTAAGGGCAATGTGTGGTGTAAATATTATGCAGAAAATTCGGAGTGTGGAAATTAGGAGAAGGTGTGGAGTTAATAAAAGTATTAGTCAGAGGGCAGAAGAAGGGTTGTTGAGGTGGTTTGGTCATTTAGAGAGAATGGATCAAAGTAGAATGACATGGAAAGCATATAAATCTATAGGGGAAGGAAGGAGGGGTAGGGGTCGTCCTCGAAAGGGTTGGAAAGAGGGGGTAAAGGAGGTTTTGTGGGCGAGGGGCTTGGAATTCCAACAAGCGTGCATGAGCGTGTTAGATAGGAGTGAATGGAGACGAATGATACTTGGGACCTGAAGATCTGTTGGAGTGTGAGCAGGGTAATATTTAGTGAAGGGATTCAGGGAAACCGGTTATTTTCATATAGTCGGACTTGAGTCCTGGAAATGGGAAGTACAATGCCTGCACTTTAAAGGAGGGGTTTAGGATATTGGCAGTTTGGAGGGATATGTTGTGTATCTTTATACGTATATGCTTGTAAACTGTTGTATTTTGAGCACCTCTGCAAAGCAGTGATAATGTGTGAGTGTGGTGAAAGTGTTGAATGATGATGAAAGTATTTTCTTTTTTGGGGATTTTCTTTCTTTTTTGGGTCACCCTGCCTCGGTGGGAGACGGCCGACTTGTTGAAAAAAAAAAAAAAAAAAAATAATTTACCAAATAATTTTATATGTTAAGATGGGCTTCACTGACGTAATCCATTGATTACTTGCATGTGCTAAGAAAAGATGTGCACAAAAAGTGACAAAACAAGATATATTTTCATGAGAAAATTAAGAAACAGTATTTAATAACACAGCAGTTTGAAGATGAAGAAAATGATGCAGTCCATCTAGCACTGCTGCAATGTAAGTGTAGCCGAGGAACCACGAATGGAGAAGAAAAATCTATTTGATTTCTACCATGGCAGAGATGCTGTGGATGACTCGAGACCAGCCATTCTACCACTTATAGTGCAATTGCTACACATAAAGTTCAACATAACCCTTTTGACACAAGCTATTTAACAGCAACCTACCTCATAGTGGCTCCACGTGCAGACTATATAGATACACACACAGGCCACCACGGTCGGCTTGTACTGCAAACACATCGTCGTCATATGAAGACTGAGGAAAAAGAAAATGAGTAATCAGGAGACTTCCTGAGCAATACAGTAGAAAATCTTCAGTGACAATCCAGCAGCTGTCTTGATCATGTGAAAAAAGTGTGTCCTCATTGGCCAGGATCTGAGAGAAGGTCCTGCAATAAGAGGTGTCAGCAATAAAGTTAACACCTTCCAGCCACAAAATGACTGATAACCTTGAAGAGAGGAGATTATATGCTGAAAAATAATAGGCATAGGTAACCTAACCTCCAAAGACAATGGGAGCCCCATAAATTGTTTGCCCTCGCATTCTGGTGCGAACAATAGTTAATCAAGGAATCATCAGCTGATTAGATAAGCACATTACCAGCCATTTGCTTTACATTCTACATAACACCACTGAGCTTACAATACTTTACAGCTTTTAATAAAACTAAATTAACAAAGCTATATATTTCGTGTATAATCAGACCTATTGCTAGAGTTCTTATATGTAATGACATGAATAGAAAGAATATACAATATATCATTTAGTATACAATTCCATGATATATAATAATAAAGTTCACAAATGGTTTACAGATAAATGCATTTGCCAATAAACGCCAAGTATTTAAAAAATAAGACAATGTAATGAGATCCATTCTTTGTGTAAGAGCAAATAATCCATTTATTTATTGTACAACAGTGGTGATAGGTGAAGCCCAACTCCTGTTAAATTTTAATCAATCAATGAAAAACTAAAACTGGGTAACTAATTAACAAGACTCCTGCTCTTTATGAATCTTCTGAAAATTATACCCCAGCAAGTTTACTCACGTCTGTTCTACACAATAGGCACTTCATGCATTTCAAAGAAATGTAACCCTCTGACAAACTTATTCTTAAAACAATTTCAAAATGACTTTCATAACCTATTACTATTGGAAGTAATACAGTACTATCTTGACTTATATATATATATATATATATATATATATATATATATATATATATATATATATATATATATTATATATATATTATAATATAGATATCTATTATATATATATTTATATATATATATATATATATATATATATATATATATATATATATATATATATATATTATATATTATAATATAGATATATCTATATATATATATATATATTTTATATAATATATATATAATATATATATAAATATATAATATATAAATAATATATATAATATATATATAATAATATATATATATAATAATATATATAATATAATATATATTATATATATATAATATTTATATATATATATATATATATATATATATATTTTATATATATATATAATATTTTATATATTTTATATATATATATAAGCCATCATTTTAGATTAAATTAAAATACTATTGTGTTATTATGGTTGCAAACAACTAGTAATGTGCCTTTGAACACTTCAGCAATGATGATTACCATTAGGCTTGGAAGCTTGCACTATATGGGCGGGTAGTGAGCAGGCCGTTGCACTGTTGAATACTCATCAGCCAAAGGGCAGCTGCACATCCACTCCCTCTGAGTTAACTTAATAGTAAAAAGTACACATCAGTTGAACCGAGAGGTTCAACAATGAGGGAAGTTCCCTCTTGAGTGTGCAAAAAAACAGAGGTATAGCAAGAGAGAGAGGAGCGGAGCACTAGCTAGCCCAGTGCCACCAGGAACAAGTTAAAGTGAGTCCTCCAAGCCCTTTTCTTCCTCAAACACATCTGTCCAGCTGAACAAGTATGGCTGTACATGTTAACTTGACATAGTACCTCTCCATGCAGGCAAACTGACAGTCTAGACTTATAATTGGGAAAAATATGAATGGAACACTATGAGAAAACTTAAAAGATTTTGTTTTTCCATTAAGTTATTAGTGGATCTGTGAACATGATTTAGAAGAAATTAACATAGTCGTCTGAAGTGTATACAAATCTGTGTTGCATAATAATTCACCTATTCAGTACAAATATTAAAAACCCTGGCAGAGAAAAAATCACTTGCAGAGCCAACATGCAAGGCCATAATAATTTTATCTTCATATTAATGAGTAAATAATTTTTTACATGATGGTAGGAATTCTGGTAATTTTTTTCTGTCTCATTAAGATGCAGGATAACAGGTATATCCTGCTACTTCTATTTACAAAGAGGTCACCACATGCATGTAAATGCAGATATATTTACACACCCATATGGGTTTTCTTCTATTTTCTTAATAGTTCTGGTTCTTCATTTCCTCTTTATTTCTATGGGAAAGTGGAAAAGAATTATTTGTCCATAAGCCATGCGTGTCATAAGAGGTGACTAAAATGCTAGGAGCAAGGGGCTAGTGACCCCTTGCTCCCGGTTCACCGAGAGAAAAAAGTTGGAGCTGCATATGAAAATATCTGAACTTCATAATTTATCATTCATGATTTGTGTAAATCCTTTGATAAAAATCATGCAGAATTTATATAATTTTTTTATTAACACATCGGCTTTTTCCCACCAAGGTAGGGTGGCCCAAAAAAGAAAAACTTTCACCATCATTCACTCCATCATTGTCTTGCCAGAGGGGTGCTTTACACTACAGTTATAAAATCACAATATTAACACCCCTCCTTCAGAGTGCAGGCACTGTACTTCCCATCTCCAGGATTTAAGTCTGGCCTGCTGGTTTCCCTGAATACCTTCATAAATATTACCCCGCTCACACTTAAACAGCACGTCAAGTCCTAAAAATCATTTGTCTCCATTCGCTATCTAACATGCTCACGCATGCTTGCTGGAAGTCCAAGCCCCTCTCACACAGACCCTCCTTCACCCCCTCCTTCCAACCTTTCCTAGGCTGACCTCTACCCTGCCTTCCCTCCACTATAGATTTATACACTCTCGAAGTCATTCTATTTTGTTCCATCCTCTCTACATGTCTGAACGACCTCAACAACCCCTCCTCAGCCCTCTGGATAATAGTTTTGGTAATCCCGCACCTCCTCCTAATTTCCAAACTACGAATTCTGTGCATTATATTCACACCACACATTGCCCTTAGACACGACATCTCCACTGCCTCTAGCCTTCTTTCTCCTTGTCGCAACATTCACCACCCATGCTTCACACCCATACAAGACCGTTGGTATAACTATACTCTCATACATTCCCTTTTTTGCTTTTATGGACAAAGTTCTTTGTCTCCACAGACTCCTCAATGCACCATTCACCTTTTTCCCCCTCGTCAATTCTATGATTCACCTCATCTTTCATAAACCCATCTGCTGACACATCCACTCCTAAATATCTGAATACATTTACCTCCTCCATACACTCTCCCTCCAACTGATATTCAATCTTTTGTTACCTATTTTTTTTTTTTATCCTCATCACCTTACTCTTTCCTATATTCACTTTCAATTTTCTTCTTTTACATACCCTACTAAACTCATCCACCAACCTCTGCAACTTCTCTTCAAAATCTCCCAAAAACACAGTGTCATCAGCAAAGAGCAACTGTCACAACTCCCATTTTGTGTTAGATTCTTTACCTTTTAACCCGAAACCTCTAACCAACACCCAGGCATTCACTTCTCTTACAACCTCATCCATAAATATATTGAACAACCATGGTGACATCACACATCCTTGTCTAAGGCCTACTTTTACTCGGAAATTATCTCCCTCTCTCCTACATACTCTAACCTGAGACTCGCCATCCTCATAAAATTTTTTCACTGCTTTCAATAACCTACCTCCTATTCCATACATGCAATATCTGCCACATTGTCCCCCTATCAACCCTGTCATATGCCTTTTCCAAATCCATAAATGCCACAAAAACATCTTTACCCTTATCTAAATACTGTTCACCTATGTGTTTCACTGTAAACACTTGATCTACACACCCTCTACCCTTCCTAAAGCCTCCTTGTTCGTCTGTTATCCTACTCTCCATCTTACTCTTAATTCTTTCAGTAATATCTTTACCATACACTTTACCAGGTATACTCAACAGACTTTTTTTTTTTTTTTTCAACAAGTCGGCCGTCTCCCACCGAGGCAGGGTGACCCAAAAAAGAAAGAAAATCCCCAAAAAGAAAATACTTTCATCATCATTCAACACTTTCACCACACTCACACATTATCACTGCTTTTGCAGAGGTGCTCAGAATACAACAGTTTAGAAGCATATACGTATAAAGATACACAACATATCCCTCCAAATTGCCAATATCCCAAACCCCTCCTTTAAAGTGCAGGCATTGTACTTCCCATTTCCAGGACCCAAGTCTGACTATATGAAAATAACCGGTTTCCCTGAATCCCTTCACTAAATATTACCCTGCTCACACTCCAACAGATCGTCAGGTCCCAAGTATCATTCGTCTCCATTCACTCCTATCTAACACGCTCATGCACGCTTTGCATTCTCTTTTGTCCCCTTTGCCTTTATACAATATATACAATATATGCATGCTCTCTGCCAATCCCTAGGTATCTTATTCTCTTCCATACATTTATTAAATAAAAGCACCAACCACTCCAAAATTATATCCCCACCTGCTTTTAACATTTCTCTCTCTCCCATCAATTCCAGCTGCTTTACCTCCTTTCATTCTACCCACTGTCTCACGAACTTTCCCCACACTCACAACTTGCTCCTCCACACTCCTACAAGGTGTTATTCCTCCTTGCCCTATACAAGAAATCACAGCTTCTCTATCTTCATCAACATTTAACAATTCCTCAAAATATTCCTTCCATCTTCCTAATACCCCTAACTCTCCATTTAATAACTCTTCTCTCCTATTTTTAACAATCAAATACATTTGTTCCCTAGGCTTCCTCAACTTGTTAATCTCACTCCAAAACTTTTTCTTATTTTCAACAAAATTTGTTGATAACATCTCACCCACTCTCTCATTTGCTCTCTTTTTACACTGCTTCACCACTCTCTTAACCTCTCTTTTCCTCTCCATATACTCCTCCCTCCTTGTATCACTCCTACTTTGTAAAAACCTCTCATATAC